GTCATGGTCATCATTCTTGATATATTCTTCCAGGGTGTATTCACAAAGTTGCAGACAAAGATATCCAAAGTTCTCGTCCTCTGCAGCATCAACATATCGTACGATATAAGGATGATCGAGTTCTGGATGTCGTAGAATTACTTCTTCGTTCTTCAGCTCGTCATAGTTGCTTTTAGACATTCTCTTAATGGCAACTTCTGTGCCGTCCTCTCTCAGCCCCAAGAAGACTTCAGTACCATCGCTTCCCTTCGCTATTCTGAATTCTGCATCTTTCACATAAATAATGCTTCTGATTCTGGATATTTTACTGTCATCTGAGCCAACAAGTTTCTCCAGTTTCTCCTTCCACCTCTCGCTGATTGGAAGCCATTTTTGTTTTTCTGCTTTTTCAATGACGCTGTTGTCAAAAGGCTTTACATTTGAAGTTGATTCTAAAACAGGAACTTTTGTTGTTGGATCAGTTGTTGCAGTGGAAACTTCATCATTTAGATCTTCTTGCTTTTCTGTCTTTTCCTTCTTTTCCTTCTTCTTTTTCTTCTTTTTCTTCTTGGATACAGACGATGCTGCATTTCCCTCACATTCAGAGTTTGGTTTACTCAGGTAACTTTTAAGACTTCTCAGCACCTCTTTCAGCTTGTCATTCATTTTCATATCCGCTGATGCCAGTATGTCCTCGGGCACTGAAGTTACACCCACTGAAGTAAAAATGTTAGCTGCCTGTTCGATTAACCGTAGGTTTGCCAATATACCGTATGTATAGACCCTAATGTTAGTCGGGAGCTTCTCATTTACAAAAATGGGCAACTGTTCTGCATAACTTCTCAAAAAAGTCTAAGTCCCAGTCCTTTGTGCCTTTTGTTTTCTGTGTTACCACATACAGTGTTTGTAGCACTGATTCACAAACACTACTGTCCTGTGAGTCAAGCTGTTTCAGTAGTTGTGGAACTACAGCTAGTGCATGCTCATTTGTTATGTCATCCATTGTACAGAAAACTGCATTTAAACTTTCAACTGCCATCTTTACATGTGTCTTAGGGATGTTTGAAAAGCGACTGGCTGCACCTGCAATATAAGTATTCACATTTCCAGTTTCCTTTAGCCATTTAATACACGCCTGGCAGTATTTATCTGCACCTGTCCCTGTAACAGTAAAGAGAAGTTCAATCATGGTTACATGGTTCTGATCTTCCAACTGCATCTGACTGTTAAAAGTTCTAAACACTTCTTCAGGTGTTTTTTCAGAAATAGCAATTGTAGCATCCAAAAAAATATCTGATTTTGGAGCAGAATTCATTTCCTTTGGATGCAATTTTATGAATCATCTCAGATAATTTTTTGTTTTGAACAGGATGCTCAGGATAAGTTATAGGTAAGAGTGCTACCAATGCACCAGCAGAGAGGAGCATGTTTACGACATCTTCCCTGTCATTGGTGGCAGCAGTAAGCAGTGGTGTGAAAGCATGGCATCTATTTGGATCAGCCTTTGCTTCTAGAAGTTTCTCTACAAAAACAAGTGGAGCTGTGGAAAGTGAGACATAATGCAAACGTGTCCAGCCACACTGAGAAGGTATATTTGGATCTGCACCTTGTTTTAAAAGATAAGAACATATATCTGTGTTGTGTTTTACAACAGCAGCAATCAACGGCGTTATGCATTCCTTCCACTCTCTAGAAGGGTAAAGTCCATTAATGTCATTGCCCCTCAGTAACTTCTTGAGCTCTCTGCGGTCATTGTCAAATATACACTGTACTACAGGATGTGTGTCTGTTGGTTGGGGGAATGTCACTTGAAACTGAAAATTCATTTCTTTGCTTGCCTGTGGAAGAGAGAAAGTTTTAATATTAACAAAGTGATACTGAATTTGGTCCTGCTTTAAACTTACGAACAGCATCTCGGTTTGTTTTATTTTAACAGCAGTTTGTGAAATGGTGTCAGAAACCTAAACAAAAGTCTGTGAAAACATATCAACTTGGAATAGACAGCAACAGATTTGGACACAAATAATAAACGTAATATTATCCATCCATCTTCTTCTGCTTATACGGGCTGGATCGTGAGGGCAGCAGCCCACGTAATGTTATATTACAATATAATATAGTACATTTGTATTTGGATACAATTTACACTTGTTCTTAATCTCATCCTAAGATACTAAAGCATATTCTTAATAAAGATATCTTAGACAAAGGTTGCCATGCCACTTCCTTGTTGAACAAGGCAATCAAACATAACCCAACCCAAGGATTTCAAATGGGATCAAATTACAATCCAACACTCACTGTGGGATCAGTGCTTTCGTTAAGCAAGCAGAGATTATTTTACAATACTGTTATATATATATAAGAAACTCTTGTTATGGGCACCGGTACAGCCGATCTGACTGAGCATGTGACCCACATGCTATTGCCCGGAAACAAATCCTCCCCTAGGCCTTTTACTGCATGTCTGTACCAGTTTTCTGTCTTTTCTCAATAAAGGCTATAAAAATACCCTCCCCTAAAAAACAACTATCAGAGGATTGTAAGGAAATGAACTTACAGTGTCGACGTAAAGTAGGGCTGTTACATTTAGGTCAAGATCTCAGGTATCTTCTGGCTCCTCCCATTTGTACAACACATACAGCAAACCTGTTAGACTGGGAGTGGGAGGGGTTGAATGCATGTCAGGATTTGTAGGCTAATTATCATAGGTTTGTTAAGGTGTTTCCATAAGAACAGATATTTCTCAGTAAGTATGTGACACACTTAGCATAAGGAAAATAGAATAATTTTGAG